CTCCAAGACAGCTTCATCCAGAAGCGATGACGAGTTTATCTCCTCGTCTGGTCGTACATTGACCACTTCGGCCAAATCGCATGCCGCCAAGGCACCGCCAGATCCCTTCGAAAGACACATCGTCCAGCTCAAAAAGAGCATATACCGCGTGAGTAGCCTCGAGAGTGAAGTCGCCGTCTTCCTCTCCCGTTATACCGTTGACCATGGTGTGTAGCCCACAGTAGACACACCCTTAGTCAGGGTCGATGCCCTGCGTCTTGCAGATAATGTACGGCATGCCCGTTTCCTCTCTATAGAGGTTTTACGTCTCGTCGAGACCATTGGGAGCACACATAGCGTCGCCCAGTGTCCTCACTCCCTGCACCATCGAAGCCTTGATGTTATTATCAAAAATCCGACGAAAAGCTGCTATTTCTGTAGCCTTCGTCAAGTGAACAACGTGCCACTCCAAACATCTGAAGGGCTTGCCCAAGATGCCTCAGACCCCGTCCGGCCATGCCACTCTTGGGATGTAGTAACTTCTTCGAAACGTGAGCAGTGCTCATTGGGTTACGAGCCACTCCACGTTTATCACTGGGGTCTCTCGCTCGATACCTCAGCCTTGGCCTACCATACAAGTTTGGGCATGCAGCAACTGCTTTGATACTTGAGCATTATTCTGTGGGTTTCGCGCCACTCCACGTTCAACCCGCGAGCCCTGCTGAGAACTCTTGTGCAATACACCTTCGGTTTTCGACAACTCCGATACTCCAATATCCAGCATGTTGATCGTACCGGTTCAATGTCCTAGCAGAGGTGAGTTCATGCCTCACCAAAGCTCTCATAGGTAACGTACGCATGTCGCTCGAGGTCTTCGCCCTCAAATCAATCAGGCTCATGGTGTTATAACCATGCCAAACCAAGGATAAGGTCATACCTTGGTTCCAAGTCTAAGACTAAGCAGCGCTCCACGCTATTGAAGTCGAGAAACTTGACACCGAGGTCAACAAGGACCCCTGGTACAATGACAAAATACCCCGTCGCTAAGTGGACAGTGACGGTGTCAATCAACCGTGCTTTGAGAGCTTCAGCAAACTTCCGACTTCCTTCGATCGTGGAGCGTCGAGCATAGTTTCTCGACCCCCTAAATCAATCATGATCTCCCATGGCTTCTCAAAGCCCTTTACGGTTGCTTCCACGGCTAGCAAGCCCGGCTTGCATACATAGTCCTTGTTCAAGAGCACGGAGCTCTTCGGGGCTGGGCCCTGCTGCCCTCTACCTCTTTGAGGCACAACAGAATTCCTTTCTCACCCAGTAAGGAGCCCCGCGCAAAATAAACTTTGTCATTCCCTTGCAACAAAACCAGACTGATTAGAAGCGGGACGTCGGATTGATGAACCTTATCGCGCCTTGCGCAGGGGACAACCAGTTCGAAAGAGACCAGTGTCTCCACAATGCCACATTCACCGCTTCAAAAGAAGATGGATGCCCACGGAAGACTTCAATTCAGGCCACGCCAAAGCGAAGGCCCTCCATCAAGACGGTCACTGTGACCGCCGGAGAGAGGATCGGCTGCCATCCCGGCGATGAGAGTTTTCAACTCTTGAACAAACTCAACCTCTCTTCCCCTGTCGGGCGGCAAGGAAACACGACCGTACGCGATATGCCTGGTTAGGTGGCGAGAACACTCGCAAAAGCTGAAGCTTGAACTGCTTCCAGGAGGGGAACGCCGCTTTAACTGAAGCCCCAGACGTTAGTGTCTATTCTCGCGCTCGGCCTTCGAGCTTCGAGATAGCTAGCGCCACGCGCGGTTGCTCGTTATGAGCATGGTGGATGCCATAGCCATCTTGGCCTCTCTCGCACAGAGCATGAGATTATTTTCATCCTTAATATCGACGGTATTCATGAGCGGTCTGAGTCGGGAGGAGTCATCCGTCGTTGACGGTGGCGGTAGTCAACGCCGACATTTTCTGCTGTTGTTGGTAGCATATTCATAGCTC